GTAAGTTTATGTCATGTTTATGGACAATTCCTCAGTGGGGAATCTCTAGTCCAGTAGTTCTCAACATTTTTAGACTTGAGGTACCCTCCTTAGACTCAAAACACCCCTATGAAAATGCCAGCAGTTAGTTTTCACAGATTTTTTGACTACAGAAAACTGCGAGAGCAGTTCTGCTATTGCAAAGAATTCAAAGACAACAGGTCAGAATGTTTTTACCACTATAAAACACTATTCCTATTTGAAAATCCTGAGTTTTATCCTGTGAATCATGTTTGCACAACTAATAGTGCTAACATTGTGTGGCACCCCACAGCACCCTTGAAAGGATCTGATGGCACCGTGGTTGAGAAGCACTCTCCAGTTTATTTGTTTTTACTTTGTGATTAATAAGAGGTGCAAAGAGAATATAGTGGACTGGAGAATCCAGCCCAAAGAATTACATGCTTGCTAAAGGAAATTAAAAATCACAGTTTATAACCTGCGGATTCCAGGCAGGTTACAATCTGGCACACAGGGGTGCATCTACACATGCTATTAATACGATGTAATAAATTCCAGTGCAGTTTGTACTAGAGCATGTTTCTTCTAGGTGCAGCATTTACACATATGCCCCACACCATAGTATGTTGAGCTAAGGCAGTGCAGTGCCAGCTGGCAGAGGGAACTGGGAGTTCAGCCTGCTAACCTGGAGTTGCTCCACCCCGCTCAATATGTTGCGGAGGGTCTGGTTGGGGCATGAATATACTCTAGTGTGGGGCTAGCCAGCAGGCAGGCTGTGCACTGTAGCACCCTCATGCCCCAGCTAGCCTCAGTCAGCATCTACACATGCATTGCAGCAGAGTAAATAACTCCACTGTAGGATAGTATTTGTGTTGGTTGTACTATCTTATGGTGGAATTAATGAGTTTACTCTGGCCTAATAACCCTGCACGTGTAGATGGTGATGCTTTACTGCAGAGCTAATTAGTCAACTGCAATAAAGGGCATGTGTAGATGTCCCCAGGATGGTCTAGTGGACAGATTGATGAGCTGTTAGTCAGGAGCCCTAGGTTCTATTCTTGACATAGCCTCTGACTCCTTTTGTGGCCTTGGACAAGTAATTTCAGCTCCCTGTCCCTCTACTTCCCTTTCCCTTTCCATAGGTTTTGTAAATCCTAGGGGAAGTGAGTGTCTCATGTACTGGACTTAGGCAGTATCAGCCACATGGGGTTCCACTATCAGTGGTGGACTCTAAGTGCTACTATAATATATATCGAGCTAAAACATTCATTTTGCAGACTTTATATAGCTTGACAAGAGCTGAGGGTCAAAGAAATGCAGTTATGAAAATGGGGCACAACTGTACAGTATTACAGGGACTGTCCAGGAAATGTTTGAAGCAACTGAACAAGTGACTGAGAGTGACCCATACAGTCAAATCACTTGGCTTATTACTAGTAACATATTTATAGTGAACATTGTGGCTTGAACCCCCAGTGCTGCAGCTCAGTTCTCACATGCTGAATGGTAGAAGAATGGAGGAGACTTGAGATAAAAAACTGAAGCTCAGGTGCACAGGAAGAGGGGGATAGGGGAACATGCTTACTTACATTGATATCATAATAGCTCTGCTATAGTCCCTTTTCCCATACAGAAAATAGATTATTACCATCAAGATGTTTAACATGCTAAAGTGATGCTAAAAATCATCTTCATTTCTTGACCTGCCTTTAATGTACTTAAACAACATCTAACATTGATATCTTTTAGCCTAACAGATTCCCTAAATATTTGACAAATTAAGACTCTAATTATACCCTTAAAAGCACAGAGCAAGGCTCATAACAATATCAATAGTAGCCCCACATGCACCCCTGAAGGTCAGTTTGATCCCAAATGTAACTAGAAACAGTTTTTCCATCCACAGCTGAAAAGCACCCACATCTTGGCATTCAGCAACAGGCACAGAAAGAGAATATGACCAATTTAAACTTCAGGGGAATGTATGTAGGCAGAATGCAATTATCCAGGTTAGAATACATGTGTATTTATGTACTAGGAATCCATCAGGGAGACTTTTAAAACTGATGCTTGCAGAAGTAACTTTCTTGTCGAAAGTCACTTGTCTACAAGATTACTTGAAGAAAGTAGCACTGATATTATGTAGGCATTTACTAAACCATGGTAAGATAAGAAAGCTGCTTTGATTACTGAGGGTTTAACATTTCATTTCAGACAGTCTCAAGGGCTGGGCTGGGCTGGGCCAGGCCCATGACCAGGGGAGGGGCTCTGTTTCCTTCCCCCAGCTCTGGGGGAAGCCACAAGGCTGCTGCTCTCAAGACACTTGCATGAGGACGTGGGGGAAGGGAGGTCCCCCACTGTGTGGCACCCCGCAGATATCCCTGCTGCAGTCTTGTGGGGAGCCAGGCTGGGCCTACAAGGCAGGGGAGCTCCATTTCCCCCTCCTGCCACAGCTCCAGTTGTGGCAGCCACAAAGATGTCACTATGAAGACACTTGTGTGAGGCACAGGGGAGTGGTGGGGGAAAGGGAACCCCCTTTGCTACATTGTCCCAGCCCGACTCCCCCCAAAACCCCACCAGGGGTAGCAGGGAGGGGGGGCCTGTGCAGCAGGGGAGGCTCTCTTTTCCCACCCCAGCTTCCCACATGAGCATCTTGACAGCGGCAGAGGCTGCTGTGCCTGGAGCTGGGGTGCGAGGGGGTTGGAACCCCCCAGTTATGCGGTCCCTCTGCAGCTACTGCTGTCTTCTCTCTGTGACAGCCCCAAGGGCAGAACTAGGCTGGTGCTCACCCACATGAATACCAGCCCTGCAAAGCTATGTGGGACATGGGCAGAATTGCCCAAAAATTGATGCTCTGCCTTAGAGTACCTCTGTCTGATACTACATCAGATGAGGGTTAATTTTTCGCATATCAGCCATTTTAAAAGCGCTCTGCAGCTGTAAATGTTTGTTGTGTTATGGCTACAGAGAACTTTCAGGGGCCTCATTGTGAAAAATGTAACTTCTGTATACACTCTTAGTGTTAGACATCTTCCTAATTTTCATAATTTCTTAAATCTGGTTAGTTAATTTTGATTCAAACTTTGCAGGTTAGTTTAACCTGGCTAGGCGAAATCAGTTTTGTAACAAGACAGACATCCCAGAAATGCAGGCACATGCCTGCAGTGGCTCAGGCTAGAAGCTGGGGGGGGGGCGAGGGGGGGCTAGAGCAGCCCTCCCTTCCCTTGTACAGTACTAAGCTGAGGGGGGTGGGGCATAGCCAGGCTCTGGCAGGATGCTCTGATTCACCCAGCAGTGAATTGATAACAGTGTTTATCACCTCTAACCCAGTGTTTATCACCTCTAACCCAGTGTTTATCACCCCATTAAGAAAATAACAGAGGGACATTACCAGTGACCTGTTGATTCTCCCTGTTGATTCTGCCTTTGTCACAGCACGGACCATAGCCAGCATGTGGTCTGCTGGTTAATACACAGACACCTCTCAACAAGGCAGAGCAGAGGGAGGAATTCCTGCTTAGCAGGGAGTGGTAAGGGAGAGAGGGTTGAGCAGCTTGCAGCCTCTGCCAGAGCTGCAGCCAGGGAGCAGAGGGGAGGGACAAGACCTACTGAGAGCTCCACCCAGCCCAGACAGCATGCCAGGATGCTGGGGGAGTCTGATTTATCTTAAATCAGCAAGGGGCCTGGGACAGACATTGCATAAACCGGTTGGACTCAAATCAGTTAAGTCCGATACTATATTCAACCAGGTTTATCTCAAACCAGTTTCAGCCATTTTCAGACTGGCTTATGTGCACTGAACATCTGTTTGGTTACAGGTTTAAACCAGTTTCTGATCACTTAAACTGGTTTATGTGTAATGTCTGATCCCTAGTCCAGCTGAGAAGAGTAACTAAAACAGGTTTTATGTAATAATCATGAAGTATGAATGGTGGCAATTTCCCTCCTTTATGTTCCATATGCTTGCAGCTTCATTCTCTGAGAAGTTTAGTAAAGATTTACTGAATATAGTAAAATTTACACCAAATGCAATATCCTTAGAACTTTACCAATGACATAAACAGCTTAAAAAAACGAATTGCCTGAATTTCAAAGCCTGTTGACCTGTCTGGCACCATAGAAATCAATAGCAAAACTTCCATTAATTTCAAAGGGAACATATTAGACCCTATGCTGGGTTCTAAATTAACTGTAAGTATTCAGGAAAAAGACTAAAGTCTCATTGTGGATAGGCCAATGAAAACTGCTTTTCAAATGTCCCGACAGCAGCTGAAAAATATTAAGCCAATTGCTTGGATGTTTTTCTGTCCTAAAAATAGGATAGAAAAAGATGTTGTCATGTGGTGTCACCTGGAATACTTTGCTCTGTGCTGGTCATTCAAAAATAGAAGCAGAAACAGGGGACGTGCAGAGATAAATGACAGAAATAATTACAGGAGCACAAAAAGTTCTATATGAAGAGACAATGAAAAGACGGGAACATTTTGGTTTGGAGAAGGGGCCTGGTAAGTGTATATCAACTAAAGAATGCCATAGACAAGATAACGGAGCTGCTTCTATTTATCTTTTCTCATAATACAGAACATGGGACATTCAGTAACACTGAAAGGCAACTCATATAGGACTGCCAAGAGGAAATACTGTTAATTTTTAACATAGACATGTTTATTATTTAACCTGTGGACCTAACTGTCCCAAGATGACTATCATGGAAATCAAAAGCTGAAATAAAAATTAGATACTTTTATGATTCTAAAGAACATCAACAGTTTCATTAGGAAGAGATGGAAGAAGTGGGTGGAAACAGCTACAAATCAAAATGATGATATTTCACACCCATACTGTATTCATTCTGCACAGGTGTAAATGACTACATAAAGTGAAAGAGCTGTAAGAATATATTCTCATTCATACTCTATGTGCACTTTCATGCAATTTCCTAAAATAACCAGGAATACAGTGATACTTTTTAAATTTCTTGTCTGGCTTCTATCTTGCAGGCCTAACAAGAGAAACAGAATGGATCCCAGTGAATGCAGAACATTGAAATATTTTATATATTTGTATGAAGATTATGGACTTCCTAAATACAAGATACTCCATAAGAAACTTTCTCTTTGTACATTTATACCAACACTTTCTTGTTGTTCATGTTGCTTTATGTAAAAAAAAAAAAAGCATTGGTGACACCACACTGTGCAGAGTAGTAAGTGGTGAACCTGTATATATACAGAAATGAGCTTGATCTTATGTGCAGAGATTAATGGAGACAATGGAGGTTAGAGGAGACAAAAGGCAAATAAATAATTTTTTCCAGGTAAAATATCTCTAGTACCTGAAAGAAATGTTTTCCTTACTTTTCAAAATAAATCATACAGGTAAAGTGTTTTAATGGAACCCTGGTTACAGATTTAAGAAGAGATGATAAAATTCACACTTTACCTTTAATGACTAGCTAAATAAGTCTGACCTGTAAAACAAAGAGATAAAGTAAGATGACAATCTTACAGGTGTGGTCTTTGAACAAGAAGTTCATCTTAAATTCCTCCTTCATAGTAAAGCTGCAGGCTTTTTCTTTTGCTTTATAGTATAAAATGCATTCTTGTTCAGATGTTTCTACATTGCTTTTACATTCTACAATGAACATAAAAAAAAAGACGTGGAAAGTAAAGCGTTCCTTACAGAAGCCTTAGCTCCAGAAAGCATCTCTGTTCAGGAAAATACATTAGCTGAAGCAAGTTCTTAATCACATGCTTAACTACCATGAACACAAGCTTAAAATTAAGTCTATACTGAATTGCTTCCTGAATAGAGGGCCTTAGGACCCAGTCCTGCACTTTATACTCAAACAGTTTGGCTTATGAACCTTGATGGAGCAGTTCACCTGAAGGAACAGGCAAACATGCAAATGTCATAAAATATTGCCTTGTATATGTTTCTACTGAATTATCATGGCACAGAAATAGAATACACTCAAATAGACCCCTAAATACAAATGAATAAATATGAAACCTAAATGCTTGTTTTATATGGTATGTACATAATGAAGTGTGTTTAAAGCATATTCTATTTTTGGAAATGAAACGTTATTGTTGGAGAAATTCAATACATTATGTTTCCTTGATCTTGTTCATGTTGTGTATTCACTGTGGAGGAACAAAGAAGCTGTTCCATAATCCTATTAATGAACCTTCTACCACCATCTTAACCCATTTCACATGCAATTAAAACTTTCTGGTATTCTCTTAATTTATTCCATTAAAAGAAAAATAGTTATTCTGGATAGAAAACAGGGTTCAGGCTGAATATTACTGCTTAATGCAAACCATGGTTTCATGTTTGCTACTTCACAGATTACAAAAGTTAACCACCAGAATCATTATATTTTAGGTGCCTACATGCATTATTTACATGTACAGGATTCTTACTTACCTCAGGAAAAAGTATACTATATTTTTGCTTTAAATATATGACTACAGAGGAGCCTACTCTCCCAAATACATATGGCTACTTCTTTTTTAAGCACTCCCTAAAGGGAAAGAGCCTGAAAAGACAAAGTTAAGATTAGGCAAAATGTCAAGATCCAAAATGCATCCAGAGCATCATTCATTTATACACTGATAAGATTAACATATATTCAATAAAAAATGAACAGTTTTCCTTATGCTGATATCAGCCACCAATATTAGCCTGCAGTGTTTCTGTCAATATGGACTTGATGAAAGAAGAAAAAAACACAATCCAATAAGCCAAAATCTGGCTGACTGAAAGGATGGTTCAAGCACTTGACCACTGGCCCTTGCTTAATGTACAATATATTAATGACGCGATACAGCACAAAACACAAGCGGTGAACCATTCTTCTTTCCTTTCTCTTCTCTTTTACTCAGTCAAGCTTCCAGAAGATTTGGAAATGGCTAGAGCCAGGAGAGAAATAATTGGGAAAACATTGACATTTCTCTGCATAAATAATTCCTGTCAGCTCTGAAGTTTATTCTCCATACAGGAAGATAAGTTTTATATTGTGTTGTTATGCACTGGATTGTAGATGGGTAACACTGCCTTCTATATGGATGGAATTCATCATACCTACTAATACATAAACAGGTGGCCACTGCTTGGTTAAGTACTCAGTCGTTGTTATTCCATACATAGGTAAATTTAAAGAACATTTAAAGCACAGACAGTCCTGCTTAGTCAGGAAATGGAGAGTAATTACATGGACAGGAATCCTGGGGGTTAATGGGAGATTTTAGCAGCTAAAAAGTAAATCTCTACTGAGTGTGCTCAAACAATGAATATAAATTGGCCAGTTTGGAGCTGATTTTAATGGGGATAGTAAAGAGCATATTGCTGATACAAAAGACCACTACACTCATGTCAATTTTCAAGTGTCTGCTCCAAAAATACAGGGATGCTATAACTTTTTCAAAGGCCTTTTCTATTTCAAATGGGCAAAACAATAATGTTTAACCCAAACCTCATATTTAGAAATAACTGGATTTAGTCCAATCTTTAAAAAAAAAAGAATTCAACATGATACATGAAAAATTAGAGCCCCAGCCCAAACAGTTACAGGGCGCATCTATATGGGCTGTGTTACTGTGTGGTAGACTAATATACTGTGCAGTAAAGCATCATTATGTAACTGTGTGCTGAGCTACTGCACAGTAAAATAGGCTAATGTGCAGTAAATCTACATCTGCTGGGAGGAACAGTCAGCCAGGTCGGACCATTCCAGGAGGTTCCTGGCCGAGATACAAGACCTCCACTTAATTCAGGAGGTGCACAGTCCTACCAGAGGAAATGCCCTGTTGGACCTGGTCCTGGCCACAGGCGACAACCTGGTAAGGGGCCTCCAGGTTCTTGGCC